ACTCCGTCATTCGGACTTCGGACATGTCGAGGCTGCAATCCCACTCAACTCGTAGAGTAGGTCCAGTTGATCGCCACTGTTGCACAAGCCGATCTCAGAATAGCATCGTCGGTGTAGCCTTGTCAACAATATTGAGGCTCCGTGCGCGCCTTGTCCCAGCTGTCCGGAATATTGACCTATTCAGGCAAGACCTCCGACGTCTCTCGTGCTTTCAGGAACATGAAGGGATGCTGACGAGGTTGTGGACCATTCGTTGCGAAGCAGAAACGACATAGACAGATAGGATAGGAAACGGAGTAAGCTCACCAGCCTCAACACATGCTTCGATCGACATGACATCCATGGCTATCGGGCGTGATGCGCAGCCGCAATTTGGATGTCGGTACTGATGATTGAGGGGCGTATGTTGATCCTGTATCAACTCATCGACGCAGCATTCAAAGCCTCAATCATGGCAAAAGACATCAAGAACGGAGGAAGGATGAAAGCGAAGGCACGGGCGAAAACATCAGCAGGAGGAAAAGTTGAAAGGCCGGGGAAAGTCTCGCTACTTGAAGGCTGAGGCTGAGTCCAGGCTATTGGCAATAGAAGTGCTCTACGCAAGTCCCGAAATGGCATTTCACTTTGTGGTCCAGCCTGCACACCGGCTGCCTGCAGCGATAATGGTTCGTATTGACGTGTGCGCACTCCGCCCAAGCTGATACAAGCGAGGCCTGTGCTAGTTGGGTCTCACAGCCGTGGCCGTTGTGGATGGTGGGCTGTACCACGTACGAAAGTCTCCGTCCGTCCAGGGATGGGCAACCAGAGATGGAAGCGGACTGCGCAACGGCGGGCCAGAACGAGATAAGGATAAAGGCATCGAGACGAATCGATTAGCACTGTGACGCGCTGTTTGACCGCCCAGAGATAGCTTCGTGGTTCATCCCGGGGAGGCGTTCGCCGCCGCGGACGGTGGACTGCAGACAAGGCTTGCCGCACGAGGAACCCATGCGCAATGGCTCTGGGGATGGGTTGAACTAGGAAACAAGAGTGCGGTTTTGGCACGCCAGGACCAGGCAAGGGGGACAGGGCGTCAACAAAAGCCATCTGAGCACGAAGTCAGCGACCCGTTCAATTGGCGCAGGGATCCTTGGGCTGACCTTGGCATGCAGCCGCAAAGCCTTGAGGACTTGGGACTCGGGCATGGAATGGCGTTCTGCAATCCCAATGGCGGAGGAAGAGAGTTCGAGCTGAAAAGAGAACAACACGGCGAGCCCATGTCAAAATAAAGTGGCAGAGTCTGACGAGAAATAGCGATGAGGAGCGATTCACTATTGGCTCAAAGGTAACCATCATTAGCTATGCTCGATAATGACACCCCTATCCTCATCGCCTTCAAGTGACTACCCACAATTCAGAGAGGGCATCTACATTCTGTCAGACTGTGCCAATTTTATTCTTCCAGAGGCTCGACGGCTGCTTAGTTCGGTCGGGGGGATATTCTAGCGCGAGAACGTGGGTTGGGAGGAGAGGAGTCGAGGCGTCGAGGTGGGTTGGTGGTGAGTGTCTAGACTCGCGCCTCCATCTGCCTCCCATCTGCATCTTCCCACTACTACAACTTGCCAGTGTCAACAACTTTCATCATGTCCTCATCAGACCATATTCCCCTGCAGGCTGCCCGCGATCCCCTGCATTGGTCCGGGAAATTACCGCTTTGTCAAAAACTGCAATCATCCTCGTACGTGATGATTGCTCCATGCGATCTACTCGTATCATTCCACGTGCGGAACATCCACCTCCTAGTCAAGCATTGTGCCACATGCTGCCCCTATCGATAGATCCTAGACCACGGTACACGGCCCGAATGAAGCACCACTACCTTTCAAGGTTCTGTGACACCGATCGAAAAAAGTCCGGCAGCCCCGAACAGCAAGCAGTCCTCTAGCACAAATATCCCGCAAGCTTCCCGACCGCGAACGATCCTTTTGAGTCAAATACCTTGTTGTCGCGAAGCGGTACAAGTGGGGATCTTGAGAAGCGAGAAGAGAAAACAGGGGCAGCTGCAGCAACACGGCGCGATGGATTCCTCGTGCACGTTCAATCCCTATTATTATGGGGCACTGACATAAAGACAACCCCAGATCCATCTAGACACATTTTGTCGTTTTCTCATAACTGAGCCTTGCCTGAGAGCAGGCGCTGAATGGCTTCATTGGTCAGAGGTGCGTACCCTGTTCCCTCTCTCTCAATCCAGAACATCCGGTCCTTGGTGCCTTCTGGCAGCAGGAAACCTGTCGAGAAACAATAAGCAGTGCGTTCATAGAGAGGGTGTCATCTGGGGAGTGACTCTCACCATCTTTTCGCAGACCTGTCTTCAACTTCTTCATAATGGTCGAAACCCGTTCGCTACCACTTTCACCGCTCAGACCACCCGAGTCTTGTGGCGCACCATCATGAACCAGAATTCGGACGAAGCGCGGCACCGCATATGCCGGCAGGGCGCTTTCTGAAGTACGCAGCCATTCTTCTAGTTGAGACATGATGTCCTGATGAGCTTGATCCGACCGCTCCAGAGGCACTCCCTTCAAAGTAATTGCTGCACAACCCAATTGTCCATCATACCCGTAATGGTTCATTGGGATGGCATAGACGTTGACAGAAGCAATCTGGGGATGTCTACTGATCCATGCTTCTACTTCGGTAGTGGAAATATTGTGACCTTTGGCGCGATAGGTATCTACCAAGCACCGTCAGCATTTTCACCATTATTGCGCCCAAGGCGAAGGTGTCATCGACAATCACGTACCTCCAAGTCGGTCACGAAATTGGATGAATCCATCTTCGTCCTACAAGAGATATCGGCTCAGCATGCTCTCTCTCCAATTTATGGCTTGAACTTACCATCACCATCGCGTCCCCGAATCGAATGTATTCGTCCCCTTTCTCGAAAACATCCCTCAGGGACTTTTTCAGAGTAGCCTCTGCACCACCCTCTCCGACGTAGTCGTGGCGCCTTTGGAATGGAGGGGCGATCTTGGAAATGGCCTCACCAATCTCTCCCAGCTGTGCCTTGATGCAAAACCCTGTCTTGGGATCTCTTAGCACTTCCCCTGTCTCGAAATCGGCTCTGATGATCCAGAACGACCTCTGGCCAAACCAGTTACCCCGTAGTATGGGTCCCCACCGGGCGACCTTTCCCACCCCGAGATCGTTCTTGTTCGAGTTCAGTAGCGAGGTTGTTCCCTCGCTTGATCCGTAATACTCTACTATCCAAGGGATTCCAAACCTTTCCCTGAATGCTTGCCACACATTGGGAGCCAGCCCCAGACCGAAGGCGAGATCAACCTGGTGATCTTTTTCGTTGGGAAATCGGGGATCTGGGGGGGACTGGACTAAATAACGGAACATTTCGCCGATATAGACGATGGCATTCGCCCGGGAGCGTCGAATGTCGGCCCAGAACTCCCGCCGGGAGAATCGCCGTGCAAGAATCACGGTCGCCGACGACGTAAATGCGGCCGGCAGGCAAGCGAAGGATGCCGTGCCGTGGAACAGGGGCAAGCAGACATACCACCTTCTGTGGCTTCCCTGCATGAATGGCCACATTCTTGGGAATCCAATCAGATGTTCATGTCCAAGCGGCCATATCAGAGCTTTGGGCATCCCTGTTGTTCCGGACGTAAAGAGATATTGCCCGGCATCGGTGGGACCGACCTTCGGTCTCTTGTGTTTGGGGAAGTCGGCCATCTCTGGTCTCACAGGAGGCAACTCGTCGTGCTTTAGCAACAAGGTCCCTTCGAGGCGAGGTTGAATAGGAGGGTACGAGTTATAGTCGTACAGAATGATCCTCGGAAGAGATGACGAGACCAGTCTTGAAGAGCCTTGGACAGCCTCGTCCTGCCCCAAAGCCTTTGCGAGGACATCATACAGCTCGTAAGTTGTGATGCAGACTGTGGCTTCGCTGACTTTGAGACAGTGCTTGATGTGGGTTCCGGTAATGGATGTATTGACCGGTGCAGCAATGGCACCGAGCTTGTACAGAGCCCACCAAGAAAAGATGAACTCTGGCGAGTTGTTGACGAACATTGCAACCACGGTTCGGTTCTTGATCCCGAGCGCTTCAAATGTTTCAGCCACTCGACCGATCTCTTCACGTAGTTGGCGGTACGTCCAGCTCCGGCCTTCAAAGACGAACGCCTCCTTGTCGGTGTGGTGGTTCTGGTCATAAGTCGAATGTATGATGTGGTAGAAGGACCAGTCGTCATCTCCGTATTTTGCGCACAAGTCCAGCGCGTACTTTTGGATATTCTTTGTTGATCGAATCTGGGCGAGGTCGCTGCGAATCGAGTATTTGGCATCGAGATACATGCTGATACCCGTGAACGCCGCGGCGGCGCCAGCAGCGAGCAGTGCCATTGCTGCTTGTGTAAGGCCTGAGGTGAAGTCTTGTCAAAGGCTGTGTGGCACGAGGGGGTATCGTAGTTTCAAAGGGAAGCAAAGAGACCACACACACCCCCTCTCTCTCTGTGGGTATCTGTCTCTCTCTCCCTCTGTCCCTTACGATCCATTTTGGGAAGAGCCTCGGATATGGTGGAGATGTGATGGGAATGACTCAATAATAGCCGTACAAGCCGTTTTAGTGCGGATCTGGCACCGCGGCTGGGACGAGGTAGTGCAGACCGGTCCACTCATCGTTGCGGCCTCCTCCAAGTACATTGCCTAGGTACATTGAGAGACTCTTCATTCTCCATGTCTCATTCCGTTTGACGATATGGGGGAAGTATATGCGGGGCGCGAATGATGGGGTAGAAAAAGGAAACCTGCGTCTAGCCTCATTTATGGTCGTCCGTATGTTTTCCAGGTGGCTGTCCGGTGGCGCATTTTATTCTCTGACGCAACTTCTCCAGACGCGTTATCAATGGGGGAGTGGCTTGTGGTCCTTTGGGATATAATATTGGTACCGTGAACAGCCACCAGAACGATCACACAAAAATCCCAGTGTCCGACCCCTCAACGTCGGGATGGACGACAGCACCATCTACAACGACTCCCGGCACAATATCTTGAGCTTTACTGACCACTCATCGGAAGGGGTGTCGCCTTTGGAACAAGATGTCTTGGACGAATACGAGAGGTTATCGAGGAACATGAAGGAGGTGAGTCACTCTCATCTCATCTCGTCGCGTCGCGTCGCGTTATGTCGGGTCGTCGACTCTACCATGCCATACTCTACCCTACCCTACCCTACCCTACACTCTTCACTCGAAAGATCGGTGGAGGGAGTGATATCCCATCCTGCACGGGAAGCAAGCAAGCAAGAGACGAAGAAGGGTGCCATCAAGTCTCCCTTCGTCGGATGGATGTAGATGCCATCCTGGGGAGGATTTCCTTTGTTGTGTTGCTTGGAAGGCGGTTACGGAAACCAACTTACTTCTCTTTTACGTCTCCCAAAAAAGCCAGTTCTAGTTCCAGTTCTAAGTTTTGTTCTATTCTGACACAACACTGTTATTTTCCCTCGAACAGCTCTCGTCTACGCTGGCCGACCTCTCCGGCGGACCCATCACGCTCGAAATCGCCGAGGGCCTTCGATTGTTGGAGCGCAAGGTCGCCAGCGTCTACACGCTGATGAAGGCGAGTGTGTACAGCATTGTGCTGCAACAGGGGCAGGTCGAGGGAGGAGACGATGCTGCCGGCGCCGCAGGCAGACCGGATGATGATGGGGGAGAGGCGGCCGAATAAATGTTTACAGGGCCAATTGGGGTCTTGTGCTTGTATTATGGATACCCCTTAGGGTAACGACATGAGGTAAACAGGACGGATACATACATCCCTTGACGAGCGACGCGAACTCATGAGCCACGACAAGGACTTGTCAAAACTGAGCGGCATGTTGGAAGTGTCGCCCTTTGCCGGTCAAAATTTGGTCCACCCTGAATTTGTACAAAAATACGACAGAGACGCAAACATGGTCTGCTGTCTAATGTCTGGTCTGGGAATGCTAATATACAAAATCCCTGATCTATGTTTGGCCTGCATAGTACACTTTGCGAACATCCACCAACTTCTTGCCTCGAGCCCTTGCGATATCCTCGGGGTGCTTCTGACTCAACAGAGCCTGCACCGCGGCCTTGACTGTGTTCATAGGATTCCTCGATCGTGTCACGCGGGCAGATAGATCGTGGATTCCCGCACACCTGCAAATCTCCCAAATATACTGTTGACATCTTAGCCCGAAGCCTGTCAACGGTACAGTTAGCAGTGCAATCTCGCCACGGATTGCGGAAGAACAGTACCTGGTGGTCTTGCATATAGTTCCAGCTCGGTGGCGCTGACCTTGGCCTTCAGATCTCCATAAATGGTTCGATTCTCGTACCGCAGAATGGGAACCATATTCCGGATGGCACGGTACTGACTCTGGACCAGAGCAGCAGAGCTTTCCTGAGACTTCCCTTCTCCGATACCGATGAGACCCTGACCGTTTCCGGCTATGCTTAGACAGTACATCTTTCTTATCTTGCCTAGCCTTGTCTGGTTCGTAACACTGTGGAAGATGAGGGTCTTGACCCGTAACTGCGCTATTTGTTTCTCGCTGTATCCGGTCATCTGCATCAACTGCAGGAGAGCAGGCGAAACGGCCCGTTCCTTTCTCTCAGTCCCTTCCTCATCTCTTTGAGATTTCTTTTTCTGAGGTTTGGCTGGCTCCGAAATTCTGGGCAAGTCCGGAGCAAGTGCAGTGGGAGGGTTTCTCTCGGCCTCTTCGCGTCCGACGGTCATGCGGAGATTCTTGTCAAACTTGTCCCATAGCTCTTGGTCATAGTCGTTTTCGCTTTTCGGCTCGGGGATCTTGTTGATGAACTTGACAAAGTCGTCCTCCAGCTCTTCATCCGTCTTTAGCCTCGACTTGTCATCGATATTGGTCATCGGTGCCCGCACTGGCTTATCTACCACCGGATCGATCTTGGTCAATTCATCGTAGTATTTCAGCTTCCAGGGATCTGTCCGCATGCCAGTCTGCGTTTGCAGTTGGTCAAGATCGATGAGTTTCTGAGCTGCCTCGATTGCTGCTCGCTGCTCCGGAGAGTATCGCTCAGGAAAGGTGCCATTTTGGACCGAAGGAAACTCCCTAGCTTTGGCGTTGAGATCCACTCGGTTGATCTCTGCCTTCACGCTGGGGAACCGCGGTTTTCGTTTCTGGTGGATGGGGGAGGAATGAAACTGACGGCGAGGAAAGGACTTTGGGCGAGAGGATCGTGAAAAGAGGCAGAAAAGACACTCTGAGGACCGAGCGACACTCATAGTGTCAATGCAGCTTGGGGCTGCGCAACAGGGTCGAGATGTTATATGCAAGTCGGAGTGTCGAAGTCGGATCGCAAGGAAACAAAATTGCTGGGCGTGTCAACTGAGCTGGACCCACGCTAATCTCTTTTGGGAATCTCGAGCGTGCGCCCTCACATTCTTCCTGTTCAGAAAGCACTTTTCATGTCAATACTCTCATCCTGGTCCCTTGATCTCAAACGAAGGTATCGGCTGCTACTGCTTTCTGCAGCGTATTACCCATCTAATTGTCCCACCTTCATTTGCCGATCCACATTCACGCCGCCCACGACTATGGTCTGGTGACAAGGCTGAATATTTGATATTTTAATTTTGGAGCCATCCCGAAAATGGAGCGATCTGATACCCAATTCCTAAGATTTAACAAGGACTCAATCTGTTATTAGATAGGGGATCTTGGATTCCCTGCTGATCAGTATCGTCGACTTCTCTTCCTCGAGATGGAAGACTTTCCAAGGTTCATCATCGGGCACCATGACCCTAAGAGGCCCTTGCCTGTCTCGATAGACACCATACAAGATGCACATGCTGCAAATGTGAGAGCACTATCGCTTCTGAAGTGGCACATGTCGACTGACTTTAGACAAGTACGACATGGTCACAAGCCCCATCACGACTCCCCATTTCCATTCCCGGGTCTTGACTCTGCTGTCTTCATCGCTTGCTCTGCATTCAGAAGAAGACATCACAAAGACTAAAAGCGCTTCGCCTATTGTTATCCCACCATTAACTCCAGCGGATACTCCTTTGACTCCTGACGAGTCCATCAGTCAAACCATCGGCGTCACCAGTTCCTGGATCGACCTAGGTTCTCCAGATCCGATCATCGCAGATATATCTCGACAAGTGCTTCAACTGGAAGTGGCATATGCTGCCTTCTGTGGACTCACATACGTCTTGATCGCAGGCCCTCTTCTGCGTGGTCACGGTGTCTCCGACAGCGGAATTGCCCAATATGCGAGGGCATTCTCGGACGCTCTGAGCCAAGGTCCCTATTTGCAGCTATACATTTGGTTTCCGATGATCGACCACTCCGAGGAACACATTGACCAGATGGGCAGCTTGGCACCATTTGCCCGTCAACAGTTTCTCGAGCAGGACGAGGCCGAAGTCGAAAGATTGGATGTTTTTGGATCCTGGGAGGCGTGGAACATGATTAGATCGATATGTAAATATCCTGCGAGGTTATGTGTAGGTGAGCATAATACATCTCTTCTACCATCCACCCTTGCGTGTTCTATACAGTCATTTGACGCTGACCGTCTCCAGCACTGTCGACACCAAAACTGCTCCCTCCAGTTCCCATCCAGTCAAGATGGTACTCGGAGCCCGTCCGGCTTATCACCCTCGACAAGGAGATATTTGCTAGGAACGCAAAAGGGTATCCCGTCCTGACTCGTGCGCATCAAGCCTTTGTTCTGAGATTCGCTCGGCTTCGTACGGCACCATGGTTCCTTCTGTGCGACGTGGGGACGATCCCTAGCAACAAAACGGACGGCAACACACTGAACCCATCGGCGACGGAGAACAATGCATTCCCTACCCTCGCCGAAGCAGCACAGAGTCCAAATCTCAAGGACGCGACCCCTCACCTCTCGTACATGCGCAATTTGCAAACCAAACAACCACCACAAACAGCCATTGATCGCTTTGGGGCCGGCTATCAAGATTACCTCCAAGCGCCCTTGCAGCCACTCTCCGTCAACCTCGAGAGTATCACTTACGAAGTCTTCGAGAAGGACCCGATCAAGTATGCATGGTATGAGCGTGCCATCGCTCGGGCCCTGCACGACTGGATTGAACAAGGAAAACCAACGTCCAACCCAGACGGACGAGTTGTTGTTGCTGTGGTTGGGGCAGGCCGTGGCCCGCTGGTCACTCGAGCACTCCAAGCAAGTCAAGATGTCGGCGTTGAGATTGACATGTGGGCATTGGAAAAGAACCCAAACGCATTTGTCCTTCTCGAGCGTCACAACAAGACGACGTGGAATGGCCGCGTAAATCTGGTGAAATCGGACATGAGGACGTGGAGGGGACCTATTCGCGCTGCGGACACACCACGACCGACTCGAAGATACAACACCTCCGCAGACAGTGACGATGACGACGACAATAAGAAGGAAAAGACTTCGCGGAAAGAAGAAGCCACCCCTGGTGGTCCCGAGTCAGCCTTCACAGGATCACCCAGTCTCGATAGCACGAACCTACTTGCCACAACCGCCCAGACTACTACGACCCCAACACCGTACAAGATTGACATTCTGATCAGCGAACTCCTAGGATCCTTTGGCGACAACGAGCTGTCCCCGGAATGTCTCGATGGGGTCCAGCACCTCCTGAACCCCGTGCACGGAATCTCCATCCCGGCCTCGTACACGGCACATGTCACGCCGATCGCGGCGCCCAAGCTCCACGCGGACATCTTGCACGGAATGACCAGCAACGCCAACGCGAGCGAGACGCCGTATGTGGTCATGTTCAACGCGATCGACTACCTGAGCACGAAGCCGGGTGCTGCGGCGGCGGAATCCGAGGCACAGCATAAAATGCCGGCAACTGTGAGTACTATCCACCGTCGTCCGATTCCCGGCGATTTATCGAGTCCTATTTCCCCCTCGGAAACGGCAGACACGACGGCGACGCCATATTCCAAAGCGCACACTCGCCAGCCGGTGCAGCAATCCTTCTCCTCGCCCCCGCCACAAGTACCACCGACGCCAGTCCCCATCATCCAGCAGACATGGGCGTTCCAGCACCCGAACCCGGCCCTGCCCAGCCTGACGCCTTCGACCATCGGGACGACAACGACCGAACCCTCGCTCACAAACAGCCACAACGCCCGCTCGTGTCAGTTGACGTTCCCCATCCCGCATCGGGGCGCATGCCACGGGCTGGCGGGGTACTTTGAGACGGTGCTCTACAAGGGCGTCGAGCTGTCGACGAATCCGGAGACCATGGACCAAAAGAGCGAGGGCATGATTAGTTGGTTCCCGATCTTTTTTCCCTTGAAGGTGAGTTGATGGCCCTTACTCTTCCTCTTCTATTCACCACTGTCACCCTGTTTCCCCTCCTTCTTTTTCCTTTTTTTTTCCCTGCTCTTTTCTCTTTCCCTCTTTGTCCCTCTTCTTGTCATTCTCCTTTTCCTGTCTCTTTCCCTTTGTAAAAGAAGAGATTCTAACCACTCGTTCCCCACCGCGGAATGAACTCGACAGACACCCCTCTTCCTCCCCGACAAATCCGAACTCACCCTGACAATGTGGCGCAAAACCGACGACCGCAAAGTCTGGTACGAGTGGCTTGTCGACGTCTACGTCTACATTCCCTCTCCCGGTCCTGCGTCTACCACTGTACCTGTGTCTCAGACGCCATCTCACTCTGGAACCACGCCGGCGGCAACGCAATCAGCAGAGAAGAAGAAGAACTCAGAAGACAGCAGCAGTGGAGATAAGGACAAGGCCAAGAGGAAAAGTGTCCCACCACCGCCGGTGGCGACGGCAGCAGCAAACTCAGCACATCGCATTGGCGGCGCTGCTGTACGAGGGCAAGGGCGCGGACGTGGACGCAGAATGCGAATCGGTGGGAGCGAGCTGCATTCGTCGGAGAAGGAGGCGTGTTTGATGTAAGGCTGTCAGGCTGTCGGCATGGTAGGCATGTAAGCACGTATGGATCTGAGAAAAATGATACCTACATGCCTATGATAGGTTACCTAGGTTATGATAAAGTATTTTGGCAAAGCAAAGTAGTGAGCAGGTTTACCTTGATGGGCATGTAAACACTCACTCACTCAGCATGACGAGCAACAACTAACACCGTCAGGTCCAGTCAAGTCAGGTCAGACATGAAAATCGGGTCGGTTTGCATTGTTTCCTGCCATCCTTCATATGTAGATGTATGTCTGTATGTAGCAAGAACCAAAGACCAGAAGACCCGTCGCCCACCTGGCAATTGCAAAGTTTTTTCTCTCGCAACTCGCGCGTTGCCTGTATGGCTCCCGTGCTCCGATATTCCCTGCCCTGCCCAGCCCAGCCCAGCCTAGCCAACCCTGAAATTCTTGCAGCTTCTTGAGTATTCGATTTGAAGCAAATCTGTGGTTCCCATGTTCCCTTGACGCCCATGTCTCTCGATCCCTCCGCAAGATCTGGAAGTTGCAATTTGTAATGCCCTCGTCCGTTTCCCAGTCTATACCTAGGCTTTGCCGTTTCAAACAACGCAGCCGTGTCTTCGGGGGTTACGTACCCTCGTCTCATCGTCTCATGTTGTCTTCTGTCCATTGACACCGTTCACGTCACCGTCGGTCCCGGAAACAACTGTTGGCCTTGAATCATCCTTTACCGCCTCTACAGCGTCATGAGTCTGGAGACTCTCCACTCCGCCTAGCAGCTTCTTCAGGTCACCAGCACCGTTCTCATTTTGTCTGAATTTTGAACTTCTCGTTTGGATCGAGTCGAGATTGTCCTCAGGGTTGAAGAATGAAGATGATGGCCCTCCTGTAGCCTTGACGCCAGAACTAGGAGTGCTTGAACCGCTAACCTTGGCGACATCCTCGGTTAGACCTCTCCTGATGGCGAGCACGTTGTCCACAATGACCGCATCGATCCCCTGCTTCACTTGCTTCCTCACCATCGCACTGTCGTTGTTCAGCGTCCCATAACTCACGCATACAAGTCCGCTTTCCTTGACAACCTTGACCAGCCTAGGCGCGGCGACGAAAGGTTCTGCCGCACTGACCACACCAAGCAGATTCCAACGGCTGGCGAAGCGAATCGCTTCTTGCAGTGAAGTGGCGCGGATGTCGCCCGCAGGACTCGTGCCAGAGTCGGTCAGGAACAGCACTGGAATGCTGGGCTGCTTGAAGGACAGCAGAAGACAGATGTCGGGGTTGAAGCTCGAGAAAATGATGTTTCTTCCCTTGCCCAATTCATACACTTTGGCAAGCACCGTGTCCACAAATGAGTTCAATTCCACGGCATACGTGTCCATTTCCTCGTCCTCGCTTTCGTATAGCATGGGGTACTTCATCTCAATGTTGAAGCCCACTTCTTGTGGAATCTTCTTGAACATCTCCTCGAGAGTGGCAAAGGGCGCTTGGATATGGTTGCCTCGAGTGTTGCCCTTGAATCCTTTCTTCTTGAAGTCGCGCGTATGTTTCATCCGCTCATCCATCTCAAGAGACTCGTTGCTGGTAGCCCCGCTCACAGACATGGATCTTAGTCTGCTTGCTCTTATGTCTCGCTCGACGCTCTTCAGACTGGCCGTTTTCGGCTTTTCAAAGGGTACAGGTGAAGCTGGTCTCGAATGGCGGGGTGTTCGCATGTCGTTGACGTGGAGGAATTGCTCGAGTGTAAGGGTATGCACGGGAGCATCGATACCCGTTTCACTGACGAGGAAATCGTGATAAATGACAGGCACGTGGTCTTTTGTGAGCTGCACATCAAACTCGACGTACGAAGCACCTAGACTGGCCGCCGCGATGAAGGATTGAATGGTGTTCTCGCCCAGCTGAAGAGATCTTCTGCCGGCGGCAAAATTCTTGCCCAGTCCACGATGGCCTATGACCATGGTCGATGCCATACTCCTCCAGTACGTTTGATTTTCTGTTACTGACATATTAGGGTGATTGAAGGGTGTGATGACGAGAAAGTTGAATGTAACAGAGCCAATAACCTCCAGATCGCTTGCCGCAACAATCGGAATCGTTACATCGCCTTGTAGTGACATCTTTTTGGTTCCAACACTCGACTTGATGCTTGAAAGCAAGGCAACACCACGTCCGACCACGCGGTCTTGAGAACCAGCATAAGTCGGGATCAGATCAAAGTACAATTTGACCTTGGATGGGTCGGCTGCGTGGAAGACAATTGGTTCTGTCGAAATGTTGTCTTGGACTGGGAGGTCAATGACTTCGGGTTCACCCTCAGCGGCTTTGGCCGAGACGACAATGGAAAGAGCTGTGTCGAGCTGTGTAGAGTGAGCACTTGACAGGGGGATTCGGTCAAGGTTAACCGCACGGATACTTTTGCGAGTGTCCATAGTCCCAAGGCTGACCAAGATCATGCTCTTGTCGGTCAAATATCGATGACCAAAGGTCTTGACAGCCTCAGTTGTCTTGATTGTTTGCCCATTTGATCCCAGACCATTGGAGTTCCGTTCATTCAGCGATGACAACAGTGGAGGAGACGTCGAAGCGAGGAAGACGTCCGCTTCGGTGTCCGCTTCATGCATGACGCGGTCGAGCCTCTGTGCTATGTCGACATGCCCTCTCAAAGCTGCATGCTCCTTTGCATTCCAGCCTGACGAATCCAAGCGCTCTAGATCAGCTCCATGATCAATGAGCAGCTCCACAACTGGAGGATGGCCGTCGACACAAGCAATGAACAATGGCGTCCATCCGTAAGTCTTCTCGGCCAGTTCGATATTGGCTTTTTGCTCATCGGTGCCCTCGAGTAGCAGCCTGGCGCATTCTACATGACCGAATCTAGCAGCCACGTGGAGCGCCGTATCGCCTTGCTCATCCTGGTAATTGATGTCGACGCCTGCTTGTATAAGAAGTCGGACGATTTCGATGAAATTTGCTTTGGTAGCCAAAGCCAGAACAACTGATGACTTGGCTGATCTTCGCTTGATAGAGGGGGTCATGCTCTTCTCGGCATCGAGTAAAGCTTTGGTTGTCAGTGGATGACCGCCAATAGCGCTGAGATGCAAGGGTGCCCATCCGTCATCGTCCTGCCAGTTGGGACCGTCAATGCCTTCCGTAACGTCGAACAATTTCCACGCCTTGAGATGCTCAATGATGATCTCACACATGACCCTAATGCCATACTCTGCCGCAAAATGTATAGGCGTTCTCCCGGCGCTATCTCTCGCTAATAGAGCTGGTCGTTGTGACGCTTTGAGGTGATCAAGCAGGAATTGGAGGAACACAACAGCCTCGTCTTCACGCGTCACATTTTGCACCCGCTGATCTTCCTGTAAAATCGAGCGCTTCAAGGCAAGGGACGGATGCGTCGCGGGAGTGATAAAGTTGTGGAGGTCGGCTTCAGCATCGGCTTGGGGATCGGTCGCGGGTTCCTGGCTTGTGTGCGACTGCTTGCGGCCTACCGAGACTATAAGACGATGGATGCAATTGCGGCGATTAATATCGTCTTGAGCATCCAGAAAGACAACTTCGCGCAGCAGGCACGCCGCACAAGCCCGACTCCGAGAAGAGATTGCCCTCTGAAGGAGATTATTCAGTAGTGATTGCACCGCTGCGTCTGTGTTTTCGGTTCCCGGTTTCGTTATACCCATGATCCATTCTTTTAGGCTTCGCGCATCGTCTTGACGGATCTTGATCTCGATTTTGGCCAACTGCTCCACAGATATGTTCAAAGAAGGCCGAGATGTTGTCCGTTTCAATGACCCCGAGGAAATAGAAGCAACGTCGTCGGCGGGATTTGGAGCGGCGGCTGCCACCTCACTCAAGACGGAGATCCAGTCATTGATTTTGTTCAATGATGTAAAGAGCTGGGTATTTGTCGCAAAGGCCGACGGATCCACCTTCAGCTCGAGGTATTTCTTTTGCGCATGGGCTGCGGGTATTCTTTTGTCCAACTTCTTTGTGATTTTGATAAAGCCCCTCCTGTTGACTTCTCCATACCATTGTAACTTTCTCAGGTCGCCCCGGAGTTCCAGAAGCGCCGCAAGGAGGTCTTCACGTTCATCTGCGTCGAGCTGGGTTGCAGCCTGAGGCGAGATTCCATATCTATCTTCAAGAAGTTTCAGACGTCGTGCAAAGTCCTGGAACTTTTTATTGTAGAAGTAGTCCACGTCCTCGAGATTCCGGTCCAAGGTGTAGAAGAATCCTAGAATACAATATGAGTGTCACGACGGTTGGTTTTCATGTCAACCCAATCCTACCAGCCAGATCGGGAATATCTCCATCTTGCTTCTCTCCTCCCGCCGCCGCAGCAGCCTTGATGAGCTTCTTCAGGGCCTTGTAGTTTATGTAGGACGATGCCCATTCCGGGACTTGGTTTCGAGGAAGATTCCGACCAAACTTCATGGCGTTCAGGACCTTTCCCGACTCAATCTTTCAATGAGGTCTAGAATTGCAGACTCGCCTCGGCGTGAGGGACAGGGGTAGGAAAAGTTAGAAGGGAGGAAGCATAGGAGCTACTGAAAGCCCTGGAAAGAGCGGCTACAGTCTGACGTTCATTCTGATTCGTACGCGGAGGACAGGAATGAAGGGATGGAACCGTGAGCACTTGGCCATGCTCCCTGGATGAGAGCAAGGGAGGACGAAGATGCACTGTGTAACATGTGGAGGGGCAGGTGAGGGTACTCGTAAAATTTGAGTGAAAATGTGTCCCCGGGTTCTTTGTGTCGCCGCTTACCGCTTGCCGCTTGCCGCTTCGACCGCGGAGAGAAGGATTTGGGCCTGTTTGTGACTGACGGGGGAGGACGGGGGAGGAAAAGTATTGTGCGACGGTGCTGATTGATGAGTGAGTGAAAAGAATGGTGATGGAGGCGTGTTACAGCTCCAAAAATTCATTGGCCTCCGCAGTTGCTTTGGCGACACCTGGCCTGATTGGTTGACCCAGACCGCTCTCCCCTGGCCGTTTGACCGCCCACGCAGCCCGATGCTTTAAGCGCGGTTAGGTATCTACACTATGACGTTGAAGCCCCAGCAGTGGCGATTCTGGCATCCCGTTGTATAGTCAGGAGGCTCCCCCTTTGCCCCCAAAAGTACCTCGTATAGGTAGATCATGCGCCCTCACGGATCTGGTCACGAACATCTCGGTCAAAAATTAACCGTACAGAGAGACACATGGAAAATGTTTCCACAAGCTCAATCCATAGTATAGAGAGACAACAAAGACAACGAGCGAGCGGCCGGCCAATCTCCCCTCCCTAGTCTCCAGTAGTCCGCTGTATATCTGTACATGCGCAGTTTTGGAAATATCTCAAACGCCGCATATGCTTGGAGACCCCGGAATTCACAGCGTGCTTTCATCATCATCAAAAGGGACGAGTAAGCCGCTTGACCTTCGTGTCTCATGACATGTTTTATCCTTTCCGTACGCCCCCCTAACGCCCATGCACCACCAGTAACTGACCACCATGAAACGGGCAAACAAGCTTTCTTCAATGAGTGAGAGAAACAAGAAAAATTCCATCACCGTCACCGCCCAATTTGCGTGGTTGCGCTGTCTTGCATCACGATCGCGTCTTCGTCGTCGTGGTGCAGTGTCACACTGTTGAATTCCAGGAATGGATCCGCAATCTCTCCTCCAGGTGTCGCCAAAGCCGAATCCAATGGGACCCCCTTTAGTCGGCTTGCCGGGCCTCCGATGTCGACACTGCCGCTATCCTTGACCGTTCTGAAGTTCACTGTGTCGAGAGCCTTGCCTTGGTGAGGAATCATAGGTGGCTTCATATGGCGGAGAAGAGCCCAAGTTATAGGTCGGAAGAACGGATGATTTTTGACGTCCGAAGCACCTGCCCGAGAGCCCAACCGTTTGACCTCGTCTTTGATCAAAAGCTTTCTGATAAGCGACTTGCAGAGGCTTAGAGAGGTCAGCAAAGATCCCGAACCTCGGATAAGCAATAAGTACTTACTTGCTGACCTGGGTCACGTGAGAATGGTCAGGGAAGGGCACTTCGTCCCTCAGAATGTTTGCAAAGGTCGCGTTTCGGTTTTTACCCTTGAAAGGGGTTGTCCCAAACAGCATCTCATAGATCAGAATACCCAATGTCCACCAGTCAACCGCACTAGTATGCCCATTTCCTTTGATCACTTCGGGAGCAATATACTCTTCCGTACCGACAAAGGAATTCGTGCGGAAGTCGGCGATGCACGACTTGGTGTCGACCAGAGGATATCCGGTGGGGTTCGAGGCGTTTCGAGTCCCCAAAATCATGGTCGGCGCACCTCCAGAATCCGATTGCTTAGATAAATCAAAGTCGGATAGCATGATGTGTCCTGACTGGTGAAGGAGGATGTCTATGATGGTCAGTACACAGGGAGCAATATTGGGGTCGAAAGCACTTACTTTCGGGTTTCAAATCACGGTAGATGAAACCCATCAGGTGCAGATACTCCAGCGCGGCTGTGACTTCGGCAGCATAGAACCGAGCATCTTCCTCACCGACACATTTGTTTGGTCGAGTTTGTAAAGCTCTGAAAAACTCGCCTCCGCTACAATACTCCATGCACAGGTACAGGTGATCTTCGGACTGAAAAGAATGATACAGGGTAACAATGAAAGGGTGGTTGCTCGTGGCCAGAATCTCCTGCTCAGCCAGTGCTCTCTTGATCTTGTTACGCTTGATCATTTCCTTCTTGCTCAGCACTGGAAAGAAGTCAGCGTTGCGTCATTTGGGGAGCTATGGAATAGGCAGAAGTAACCTTTCATGGCATATAGCCGGTTCGATTTCTTCTCGCGCACGAGGTATACTTTACCAACATCGCCCTTGCCGATCAATTTGATCTTATCGAAACTGTGCGGGCCCACTTCTACATTTCGGACTTTGATCGAATTGGAGCTGTAGGTCCTTCGAAAGGCGGCGGACTGTCGAATCTGTCCCGGTAACGGAATCTTGCCAGGCTTAGGTGGGAGGCTATGGGTGCTCGAGTCCTCCTGAGGAATCATACCCAACCTGGGCAATGAGCCATTGACCACAGCCAGAGGCTCCTTTCCTAATTCCGCTGTAGACGGACGCTCCGTAGTTGGCTTGTTCCCACTGAAAAGACCTTGGGCATTTGGGGCCGAAGCCACTCTTCTCAACTTCCGTGCCAATTCCTCCTTACCAGCTGTGACCGCCTTCTCTTCAACCGCTGTACCATTCACATGAACTTTTGGTGTATCTGGAGGCGAAGGCGGAACGCTGCCCTCATTGTGGTGGCGCAAGGCAGGAAGGCCTTGATGGACGAAGTAGGGGTTGGCCTGGGCCGTTGGAGAGGCGATGGCGTCGTCGAGAGGATGTCCCTCACTAGCAACAGTAGTCGATCTATTTCTATTTAAACCGGGCAGAAACCTAGACTGTTTGACGGGTTTGGATTCAGTCTTGGGAGTGGGCAACCCATCCGAGCCTATCGAGGTCTGACTTCCACCACTATTGATACGGAAGAAGTTTTTCAGCTTGGTTGTAGTCGGAGTGTGAGTACCGGAGGCCGGTTCGCCGTTCAGATGCTTCTTCGAGGAGAAGGACAAGGAGGAAAAATTGCGTTTCTCGGTGGTGGCGGCCATGATGCTGCAGGGTGCCAATTCAATGGATCCACAGAATCAGTATATCAAAGGGGTCGAAAGCTCTCTGATCGGTAGAAAGGTAAATGTAAGTGGGAAGAGAGCCCTTGGGTTCAGACAGAGGGAATGGGGCGAGCAAAGAGCGGACTTGGGGGCTGTTCTGAAGAGGTGAGGTTCGGATAGGGCGATTTTTGGTGGTACGGAGAACGGACAAGGGACGAACGAGGGAGGGAAGGAGGATCGGATGCGGCTAGGGCTAACGGTGGTGCGCCATGTCAGGATTCTGTCCTCGGATGAATATGGACGACACTTGGACTTGTCCAAGTGAACGAAGATGGTGAATCAACCCGTGGGAAAGGGGGGTTGGGTGGTTATGGTATGGCCTTTTGGTTGAAGTGAAGTAAAGAACTGAGAAATGAATGGGGATTGGGGGTGGTGGAATTGATAATATGGGTTCAAGTCACTTAGTAAGTTGCGGCTGGAGGAATTGGCAGGGACCGCAGGCGGGAGTTGCAGGTGTCAGTATCGGTACTATTTAGCTGGAGGGAGTGGGTAGGATTATTGGCGTCTGCGATTATGGTCGCGGTCGCAGTCGCGGTTGTTTCTCTCGCCCTCTCTCGGTACAGAACGGTCTCTCCCTTGGCTTTTCCTTTGGCTAAACCTTATATCTCCAACTTCTACTTGTAGAGGTGAAGGGGGTCATGGAGGGGTTCGTTTGCTCTTCTGGGCATTATGGAGGGGGCAAACAAGGTCAGTCAAAGGATCCAAACAGTAGTGACAACCTGGTGAATACCTTATAATATGAAAGTGTCCTTACCCCGCCCCTGCCTGCGCCTTGCTTGCGCCTGTACCTACAAGAATAGTAGAGAGTGAGGCACCCTGGGCACCTCGTATTAACGACACCAGCGAGGTACCGAGTACAATGATCTCCATTTCCATCTCCATTCCATCTGCCCTGCCATGGCTTGCTTGACCTGCCTGGACGGGCCTGGCCCTTGATTGTCAGGTCTCGAATCGGATGTCTTCATGCCCACCCCCCTTCGTCACCGTGCATCCTCATATGCATATCAACTCCCTCTCCTGCCTTTGGCACCCATTTGGTGCGCCTCGATTGATTTCTCAGCACAAGAATTTTCCATCTTGCCACCAGCAGAACATCCACCACATCCACCAATTGGCTAAATCTGGACTCCCCATACTCCTATCTCGTGTCTTCGTTGTCTCTAACCTGAGACACCAACCCAAAAGGCACTCTGGGCGTCACATACAACAACGTCACTCAATCGAGAATCAGGGACGTGACAGGTCGAAAAGTGACATGTTCATTCAGCCTTATTCGTACTCACAGATATCCTGCTGGCACAACCTAGCCGCTGTTTGTATCTTGCTCCTCACTGTTGTGCCTTCCAATGTCGCCCAGTACTTGAATACACGTGCATGTCGTTCACTTGTTCACAGGTCGCCTGTCACCCGCTCAATACCAGCTTCTGGCACCCATTCCACAATGCCCTCATGATCATAACCAGGTCAAGCCCCCAATGACAACTTTTTTTGTCTTTCCGTTTGTCTTGCAATATTCGGTGACACGATACAACCAACCATGATTAGGTCCCAAGCAATGTCACCCAATAGACATGTCCAATTCCTGCCGTATCATACACTTCTGAAAAGAAATAGCCTGGTATTCAATTGGAGTTCCGCCACCCGATGTGTAAAGACCCTCTTTGGTCCGTCTTCCGTTCTTACATCGCCTCTTTTCTGGGAACCCGGGCCAGAAAAGTATCTTCGTGCCCCACATTGATGGCACGAGCCTCTCGAAGGTACGACTCATAGAAAGCCTCGGGAGGTGGAACTGCAGTTGGCATCAGGTAGGGAGGGGCAGCTTTGCTGGCCGCGGAGAGCATCGACTTGGCCGAGAGTCTCTGACCGTCACTGGTGCCATCCAACAAGTGCGGGAGACGCCCCATGGCATGAACGTTCTGGATAGAAATCGACGAGAAGCCTTTGTTGTTCAGAGCCTCAGATCCAGTGACTCGGCCGTTCCTCAAGTGCTCGTTCGAGATCCATCCGCTTCTGTCTTCCCCTCGCAACCAAATCGATGGGGATGACGCCGACGACTGCTTCAGAACGGACAAACTTGGGTCAGAACTAGTTGATGGCTCCACTGTCGATCTGTAGCCTCTGCGAACAAATCCAGGAAGTAAGTTCTGGGTACTGGACGCTGTCAGTTTTTGATTTTCAAGCCACCAGGCAGGCATTGGAGGAGCACATACTAGGCTGTATCCCTTGCCATGGTCTTATAATCGCTGCGGTTTCCATTTGACGCTGCCGGGCTGTGGCCCAGCAACCCTTCTCTGGGATTTTCTTTCAGCTTGTTTTCATGGCTATGGGAAGATAGTTAGCCCAATCTTCTGGCCAATTCAACTACCAACATCACAAACCTTTCCAGACCAAGAGCTTTGAATTCAAGTATGTCGACGAGGCTGGAGGCTTCTCCCGAAGCTCGCACCTCCACAAAATTATCCCACATCTCTCTGGTCACGGTGGGCTTCTTTGTCCAATAGCGCTTTTCAAACTCATCCATCTCAAATGATGGTGGACGCTGCAAGCCACGACCCCGAATCTCGGTAATAGTGCCATCGGGCATTCGTACCTTGCTGATTACTCCGAGAGGGAGTCGCATGGCGTCGAGCTGGACCTCATAGCAGGCTTCCACAGTCGGCGGAGCACGACCTGGTTTAGTCGGCAACCACTCCTCACTATCCGAGCAAATGTCAGTCATCTGTTGGGCCTCTTGCATTTTAACAGAATTCTCATGAGGACTGATTGATTGGGAGCTTGGTCCAGGAGTGACAACAAGCGCATTCTCGCTGGAGCCCAATGGAGAGATGCTGGCTTCACGGACCAATCTTTCCAACATTTGACTCTGCTGTCGTTGGATTTCTGGCGGCGGTGGACCGATACGGAGGCCCCATTCATCGACCTCAACCTCGACCTCGTTTGACTCAATCTTTGACCCGATTCTACCATTGGCATCCTCCTTCGAATTTGGCGAATCCTCTGGAGGTGGCACAATTGGAATCGGACGACGCGTGCTCCTCACGTCAAACTTGGGTCTCTCAGCCTCAAATTGCATCATTTGGGGAATTGGTCCACTCCCAGTGCCGTTAGGATATCTCTCAGGCGAGGGATGGGTAGTCAATGGAATGTATGTAGCGGCTTCCACATTGAGAGTGCTGTTCGGCTGATATGTGACATTTTTTGCAAGGCTCTTGGGATCGACGCCTAGCTGCTCTGACCAATAAGTCATTTGTGACTTGGCTTCCGATCGCAACTGGACAATTGTAATGCGCTGATCCGCGACGTATGGATCAGGATCTGTCATGGCGCGATGACGGTCGATGGCTTTGAGTTGCCGATCAAACTCCTCAAATTGTGCAGTACATTCAGAAAGCATATGTCGACTATATGCATCCTCTCGGGCTTGAGAATCGATAGGAGTGGTGATGATGCCACACGATGGTGGGATGCTCAGTACCTGTGGATTGGGCACATAAGGCGCTGGGAAGGTGAGACCGAATGTGTTGTTGAAGCTAGCCAAGGGCATTGCGCCACCCGCCGAGTACATTTGAGGGCTCTGCAAGAAGTACGCATCTCCTGGAACCGGTGTAAAGTACGATGCTGATGTCACCGCTTGCAGATAATTTGCCTGGTGAGCACCGTCGTAAGCAAAAACATTGTTTGGCGTCAGCAGATTGAAGTTGGCGGTGGTGGCTGTTCCACATGCATCCGTAACCCCACCGGTGCCAGGCACATAGGGGATGGACTGTGGCTGGGGTGAAGGGATGTTGTTGTCCGTGTCCGCTTCTTTTGCCTCGCTCTGGCCAGACGCACTCGGCTTCGTGACCCCGTTGACTTCGTCGCGTGTGTTTCTGCGGTCTGCTTCTGTGCTTTGGCTGGATTGCGGCAAGGTAAAGACAGGGGGCCGTGTACGCTGTTCCATTGGTACGATTCGACCACCAGCAGTGACGCGTTGGTGGGTAGGAGAAGAGTGTTTCTTGAGAAATCGAGCGAAGCCTTCATCTTGCTGGGCACGGCGTTCAGAGGGCGGAACTGTTGGCTGTCGCTCAGGTGCCTCGACAATGCGGTTGCCTCGATAGAGGATGACTTCTTCTTGGGAGCTGCTAGACTCCTGCGACCAGCCGCGAGGCCGGTCACTCGAACCACGTCGACTGGACATGACGCAGGCACCCAATGGAGGGACGACCCCGGCTGTACAAGAGTCAACATTGTCTGTGCTTTGGCATTGGAAATGACAGACTGAAACTCACCCCGAGCTGCGTCGTACGTGAATTTGGACAGATCAAAATGAGCAGGCCTGGCTTGAGGTGCTAGTTCAAGCAAACGTGAAAGTGTGTATCTGCGCTGCCGACGAGATGGGCTATTTAGGCGTTGGTTAGTCATATTGGCTCTATGTCGTGTTTCAAGGCGCAAGTGAACGTGCAACTGAATAGCCAAAGAGAGACCAAAAGCGATCACCGCAAGAGATTGGGACAACAGCACAGCCGTCAAGGGGGATCATGTGTAGACGAAAGTGAGTGTGAGTGTGGTGGCTATTTTGGGGTCGCGGGTGAACAGGAGGGCAGGGGCTGCCGCTTCCTTCATTTTTTGTTTGTCTGAATGAAAGACCGAGCCGCCGGGAGAAGGGAGAAGGAAGGCGCGACAGATGTCTCTACTCACCGAACAAGTCTGACCTTCCAACTGGTCGCGCGCCGGTGATGTTGCCGGTGGTGTTGTCCAGATGAAGAGACGGCTCGCTTGACAGGGTCGGGCTGTCGTACGCAGTGGTTGGGGATGTGCAAGAAGAAAGAAACGTGTCAGAGGCGAGATTGAAAAAAGGAAAGAGTTTTCACAGCTAGGAGAATAGTGAATGTTCAGATATGTTTTCACTTGTTTGCTTCCTAATTAGCCATGTGTTTTCTTCGTTCCAGCCCAGCGGACGTGAGGGTGCGGCAGAAACCCAGTCAAACCCAGTCAAATCCCGACAAATAACTCCAAAGCGCCGCCTTGTCTCGATTCATAATCATCATACATGGTTGTGCGGAGTGACAGCAGGCGTGAAAGGATTGATCGGCATGTCGTCCTCTTCATAACTTGGTCGTCGCGGTTGACCTGCAACTGGATTGAGGACTCGCCCCTGAGCCTCCTCAGCCTTTGCTTGGTCTCTGAGTTCCCAGCTTCCAACACGTTCGTGGCCTCTCACAGGGGATGGATGGGCTGGATCCTCACTAGCAACCACGACGGCGCCTACACCGCCCTTGGACAGGGTGAGATCCTGGTCACTGGCGAGTTTCGCCCCGCCCTTGAACCCTCCCAACTCGGACCTGCGTTTGGTATGGACCCGGTGGATTCTCACACCTCCAAGCAACATCACCATAGCGAAAAGGAGAAGAGCCACTGCGAGAGTGACAACAGCTCCAATGACACCAGCCACGATTGGCGATAGGCCATGACGGCTGGGAGAAAACCCAGTGGTTGGGTTGAGATTACCATCCGTGCCGGTGAAGGCTGGGCAGAAGACGATGAAACTGTTGCAGGTCGTGCACCAGTCCTCCACGCTGAACATCATGAAATTCTGCAAGCCGGCAATGAAATCTACGAAGGTGATGCTGGTCTGACTGGGGCTGAGCCCAAACAGAGGGTACTCCACCAGGGACGAGTAAGGTCCTGTTCCGTTTTGGTAGAGGAATCTGACAAAGAGATCTGATGTGTCTGGATAGGTGTCGATTTCTTCAGATTGTAGTGTGTACAGCTCGAAAATGAAACTGGAGCCTGGCTCTGGAACATTGTAGAATGCTGCATTCTGAGGGGAGACTAGCTGAGCAAGAGCTGCGAATGCGACCATGGGCTCGAAGCTTCCAAAGAATAAAGTCATCTTGTCTGAATTCCCCTGGGTGTTGATGGTCGTGTAGAAGGCTTGAAGGATCCTCGTGGCGAGCGTGCGACCAGCTATCGCTCGTATGTGGTCACCAGGAGTAGATCCTGAAGCCGCGACGTCGGCATTTAGAGCAAAGACCCAGTCGTCAGACAGGATCTTCGCTTTGGTAAGAACTTCTGGGGACAGAAGCTGTGCCGCACTTGTGTTGTGGATTGACGCATAGTTGAGATAGTCATAGATGTAATATGCATCATAATAGCCAACGGATGCGTCTGAGAAAATTCCATTCAAAAAGTCCGGCTGCAGACTTTGATAGAATTCCCTCGTACTGTTCTGAATGCTCTCAAAGGACCCAGTGCCATAGTAGTCATTTGTTGATGCGACATAAGCAGGGCAATTGCTCATTCCACTGACCCAAATCGAGTTGAGATCATTACCGGACACAGAATTGATATTCGGATACTGATAGCCGTTGAGAGGAGCCACCAGATTTGTACCATTCTGGATAGTACTTTGACCAGCAATATAGGTATAGTTGGAAGAGGTCTGCAATGGCGGATACAGTCCTTGAAGGAATGCTTGAGCGGAAGCAAACACATACTGATCGTCTGTCGACACAATGCTTAGTTGATCGTACTCCAACTGATACGATGCGATGCCGTGGATCGCCGTCGACTCAGCCTCGCCGTTGACCGGCACCAGATACCTCTGACGAACCCTGTCGCCAGCCTCGAAAAGTTGTTGAGCACCGAGAGGCGTCAAAGTGGGCGAAATGGGCAGGACAAAGGGGGTTCTATCGCCATATCTATCCCATGTCAGCTCATTTCCTGAGATCCCACTGCCCAGAGTATTATTGACTAACCTAGTATAGATGAAAGTGCTCAGGACCTGTTCCCTGAGGCCTACCTGGGCAGTAGCGGTGAAGCTCAAAGCGAGGAGATAGAGACACAAGGCATTGAGGGTGGACCTTGCACCCATCTTTACTCAACGATCTAGGCCAACATATGGCGATTCAGAAGAAGAATCGGTCAGTAGCACTCACCAGAGAAGCTGAGAAGCAGAAGACAGTTAGAAGGAGCAGCGGGGTTGAGCCAGCATTATGAGGTGATTGAGCATGAGGCTGCAGGACAAGAGCTCCAGTAGCTCGATCAGGTTATGACAGCATTTGCCTGGAGGAGCTCATGAAAGCAAGCTCTAACGAGGCGAGCTTACTCATTACAGGACTGAGTCTCATGATCACAGCTGAGTTCTGGTAGCTTCACATTGGAGGCATACCTAGTACGAGTAGGTATGGAACAGGGATGGATAGCCGGGAAGAGAGCTTTAGAGCTTTCGATAACAGCAACTTTCACCATGTGGGGGTTCTAGTCAGACGTCAGATTCGGTTTCGATTCGCTGGATGTAAGCTGGAGAGCTGCGGGAGGCGCCCCAAGAATTGAATAGCTCCCTTTGCTTGCCCATGGAGCCATGCCGCTTACCTAGCGATAGTGGCGGGTCATCAGCGATCAATGCAAGGCCCCGGATAAGGTGGAGGGGCAGAGGAGAGCCATCTGAAAGGCTAACGGGGTCAAAACACTCCTCCTACATGGATTTGCATAGTAGTGACAATAAGAGGAGGAGATGTTTGAAGAGCAAGGCAGGATGTTTTATGGTGACAAACGAGTTTGCTGTCCAAGTTGGTGGAAAAGGAGGAGGAAGAGACGGATCAGATCGGCGATAGCGATGATACTCGATGCTACCTACAGGTACTAGTAGGAATGTACCAAGTAGGTAGATGCGCGCCTAGTAATAACAAGGAGGCTGGGGACACCTACTGTCCCTCTGCCTACATAAACTTGTAGGTGGTTAGCTACCAGTATAGGCCTTCTAGGCGTTATCGTTCCCCTCTCTGAACGCCTAACCTGTACCGAGTACCTAACTACAACCCCTCATCGGATCCACCCTCTCCGTCACCATCCGATCTGCCGCCCATGCCATGTCCCCTGACCTTGCTAGGCATGGCACCCACCATCCACCACCCACCACCCACCGCACAACTTGAAGTCGCGATAATTTGATTTCAACCTTCATCCCTCTGCCCTTTCCCGTTATCAGCACGTGATGGCAATTTCTCCCACCCTATGCGACCCAAATTCCCCAGAGGCGAGCCGCCCCAAAGAGGCCTCAGATAAACAATGGCACAACCCTCTTTGACTGAGCAACCTATGCAGACTTCCAAGGTCGACTCAATACCCCACCATGATGCAGGTGAGTACTTGTCCCTTCTGATGTACGCCGACTCAACCTGACCGTCCCGCAGATCAACCCAGCACCCCTGTAACCTCTCGCTCTCCGCCAGCATCTGCAGATGTTGACGATAACCCGCGGAGTCCCAAACGGCGACGACTTTCCACAGATGAGCAGCAGCGGATAATCAAGAGTGAGGCTGAGGGGGAAGTCGCTGGAGGACAGCCGGAGTCAGCAGTCGCAACATCTACACCAACACGCCAAGGTCAAGATGGAGAACCAGAAGCAAACCTTTCTCAGCCACGGCGCGCTTCCACAGAAACGGTTCAGCAGGCTGTTGGGTCTATCGTCAAAACAGAAGGCCCCGATATACAGGTCGGGGCTGGAACACCCGCGACGGCAACCGGAGTCCAAGATGGAAGCGTTGCGACAAGACCTTCACAGCAGCAGTCCCCTGCGCCTAACGCCCGGCTGGATAACTTACCCTTCCTCGACAAGCAGTCGTCACAGCTTTTGACCTTCCTATCCCGGTTGACACCGACCGAAGCCATGGGCCTGTCAAGTGCTCCCAATGCCCCAAGCACCAAAGAGTATGCCGCATTGCGCGCTGCGTTTGATCGAACCAGGAGGCTGCTCAGCCCAGGATGGCCCTTTCTGTCGCCACATGACTTGGGACTACGCAACGGCAATCAGCTTGAAATCATCCGCAAGGCCAACCAGGCAATCTTCATGTCCAGCATTTTCACCGGAGAGATAGGTCTTCGGGACATGGACAGGAGTTTTCTTGCCGTCTTCGTCCCCGAGAATGGCAAATTACTAAAAGCGCAGGCTTCCATGTACCTCGAACTGAAAACCCAGGGCTTCATCACTGCCTGGAGAACAGGTGCCGCTCCACCCAATGTTGTTATGACAGACCTCTTCGGACCTGACCTGGACAAGGCTCTCTTGGCAAGAAGGCCTGGCACCACGGGTCTGGCCCCAACGGAGCAGGAGTTCCTCATCCGGCTCGCGTCCCGTCGGGATATTTTGCAAAGCCACGTGAAGAACAACACGCTTGATCAGCTCCCCTTGAAGTACAGGTGGGAGGACTTTAGTCGAGAAGTCTCCTCCTATCTGATTAAACATATTGAAAACTCCTTCAATCCTGGTGACGGTGTCTCGAACGAAGGCAATGACCCCACTAGGAGTCTTCATCGAGGCCAGATGGAAGGACAGTTCTCTATTCACGGCCCGCCACTCCCGGTCTCATCGACCGACTCCATCCTCTCCTCAAAGTCTTTGGTGAAGCATGCTTTCGAGCCCTCGGATGACGGCGACTTTGTTGCGCAGGCGGCGAGGGCGGCAGAGATTGCCCTTCGAAGTACGCTGGGCCTAGCATACTCGGACAAGATACCAGAAGGACCAGCGCCGACAACCCCCACGATACAGCAAGACACTTCTACGCCCCGTCCACCATCGGCACCACTTTCCGAAACCCGTGACCTTAACTTGAATGCAGCCTCGTCTCCATCGCCTGCAGTCGATCTAAAGTCCACGACGGAGGAGATCCCACATGCCTCTCAGACTGCTCCCACGTCAGTTCTTTACGAGAGAGCCCGGTTGGCCGCCACAAAGGCATCACTTGCTCTTGAAAAGAAGCCATTGGCGCCTAGTCAGAGGCGTCCATGGACCACGGAAGAAGAGAATGCGCTCATGACCGGGCTAGACCAGGTGAAAGGCCCCCACTGGAGTCAAATTCTAGCCATGTATGGACCTGGAGGCACCATTAGTGAGGCATTGAAAGACCGAAACCAAGTCCAGCTCAAGGATAAGGCGCGGAATCTCAAGCTGTTCTTCCTGAAAAGTGGCATTGAGGTGCCCTATTATCTCAAATACGTGACCGGCGATCTGAAAACGCGTGCTCCTGCCCAAGCACTCCGGCAAGAGGCCAGGGAACGCGACAGGCTACTGGCCGAGGGGGATGACGCTGCATTAGATGAATTGGTAGGCGATGTTGAGGGCGAAGAACAACTCGGGGAAGACATATTTGACTCCATGTCCAATCAGGAGTCGCCTCTCACCAATGGGGCCGGACAAGGCGCTCCCGCCGACGAATCTAAGAAGCCCTTTGAACCGAGCATGGCAGATGTTGAGGCCCTCATCGCGAAAGCAAGCGCAAGCGCACAGACGTCGCAGTCTGTCGAGTCGACCTAGTCATAACACTAAAAGAGGAAGGGTAAAGTTCCCTCTTCTAGAAAAGTAACACGATCCTTTGGAAGTTGCCAAGTCTTCATCGAACGATTCCCAACCTTGAGTAGCAAGATAGCGTAGTGTGATTGGCTGACACAATACCTTCTCATGGAGGCGAAAACGCCCTTCACTCTGGCCAAAGGATTTGCTTCAACGGACCCAAGGAGATATCTTGGGGACGGATGGGGTATATGGGTTAAATCCGGTGACATGGACAATATATGAGTATCTATTTAACTCAATGTATTGTGTACCTGGTATCTCTGACCGTGAACACGCTGGCAGGAGGACATTGATAACCCGCTGTCCGTCCCCAAGTTGGGATTTGTCGCAAGGCTGAAGCGCTAGCAAGGCACAAGGCCAAACCTCGGATAAATTGTGGCCGATAACTCTTTTCGGTTCTCGCATCGGGAATCTCCACTTCTACGTACGAGGGCAGAACTGCAGACTGCGAGTCTGGGCCTTCATCGTGCATAGAAGCAAACACCAACAACCTCAACATCACGAACTCGTGTTTCGTATTCCGACTCTTTTTACCAAAAACATCATACCGTCCACACCTACGTCACTCCAGTTCTTTCATTATTTTGGATCTCAGATGATAATACAGCCATGTCATCTCCAGGCGAAGCAACTGCAAGCAACACCGCCCCGCGAGATGTCGATGTCGATGCCGATGCCGAAATGGAAGATGCCACCACCACCACCGCCCAAGATGCGCCAGCACGGCAGGAGGAGGATGGCGACCGTGACATGACGACACAGACGGACACACAGCAACCGAATGCGACGGCAACGACAGCGTCGAGTCTACCGCATCACAATCGCAAGGATGTGACGTTGCGAGAGTTTTTGAGCAAAATGGATGATTATGCGCCGATTGTACGTTCCATATCTATCCCTCTCCCACACCCTTCCCTAGCCTATCTTCGCCATGCTAACCTCTGCTTTCCGTCTCTCATCTAGATCCCCGACGCGGTAACAGCTCATTATCTCACACTCTCGGGACTGCCACCCCCCTCACCATCCGACCCAACAGGAGCCAGCACGAACACGACGCCTCTCCCGCTCGCTCGTCTCCTCGCTCTCGCAACACAGAAATTTGTCGCCGATATCGCCGCCGACGCCTACCAATACTCGCGGATCCGCAGTTCGAATAATGCCGTAAGCGGACCTGGTATGGCTGGTATGGGCGGAGGCGGAGGCGGAGCGTCTTCGTTCGCGGGTGGTGCGGCCGGCGGATCTGGAGGGGGAGGCGCCGGTGCAGGTGGCGCAGGGGCAAAGAACCAGCAGAATACATCGCTGGGGGTGCAGAGGAGCGGGTACGGCGGTGGAGGACAAGGTGGGAGCGCCCAGGGCAAGACCGTCTTGACCATGGAAGATTTGGGCATGGCAGTACAGGAATATGGCATCAACGTCAAAAGGGGGGAGTTCTACAGATGAGTCAACAGCGTTACAAAAGGCTCGCATTTGGGAATGGGGGCTTCTTATTTTTATTTTTATTTTTGTTTCATAGGTGGTTTGTGGCGCGCATAGCGAACATGGGGAGTGAAAACTCTAGGGACTGGATGGGACGGGCGAAGTCCATGAATACCGGCACACAAATGGTTGAATCGATTTGCACAACCATTGGATATCACTTGAACATCTCGCCATGGCGCACAGATATTGAGCGCGCAATGAGCGACTGAGCAAGATCACAGCTTTCAATGAATCAAAGTATACGCTTCCCACCGAGTTTCTCCATCGCAAATGATTCAATCGACCCTCTCCGAGGTAGGTTCTGTGTGAGCCTAGCATCTTCTCCGTTTGGCCTCCACTAGCTTGAGGAGAACGCCTAAGAAGATGTCTCGGGGCTGTGATTATGCTGTAGTCGTTGCCTTTGTAGGCTTGACGCAGGGGAAAATTCCTCAAACTTTGCGCGCTCTCGCAGAATTTCCCTCCTTGCTATCATTCCCTGCTGTCCGTTCGAGTTGTTCACTTGTTCTTGCTCATCTTATACGTGAATCGTTTTCTTGTACTACGTTCCAGTTAGCCCATCATCCTCGACCATTCTCTCTTCCTCGCAGGATCTCTCGGCTCTGCCTTCGTTTGAGGTCGAGAGAGGACCATTCTTGGATAGGGTGCCAGGGTGCGACTTACGGCACGAATTCGCCCAGTTTCCGGCCAACCATCTCTTCAGTGATGTACACGTCCTGATATATCTTTCCATTGTGCACCGCAAACTTCAGGCCGACAAAATTGGGTAGGATGGTGGCGGACCGTGCCTGGGTTTTTATCGTCGGGGGCGTTTTGCCATGGACGACTGTAGGAAGCTCGGGGAAGACGAGGTTCGGTCCTGTGCATATGATTGACAAGATGTAAGCGCCTGAGCGTAGGTTATAGGGATCACACGCTGTGTTGGCAGGGTAGTAGCAACCCCAACAGTGCCTACATGCGTCGTTGATGGGTGGCTTTTTTTCCGCCTACCTTTCCAAACGGACCGCTTCAAGAGCTGAAATGTGGCGCGCATCGTTTACCGCAGGAGCACGGCCATACAGTACAGTCTGGAATTGTGGCCGACAAACCCCGAGAAAACAATAGTGAGTGGTCGTGGAGAGGAAAGTTATGTGCAAGGCAATTTACAAGTATATTGCGAGCACAGACCAATGGACAAAGTCAGTCGACTACTAATTACTTGGTCCGGTCGAGGCTTGTGGCCGTTGGCTCCCTTTCCCGACAGAGCTTGCTCGCAACAATTTAATCCCCATAAAAAATCTCTCTCCACATCTGCTGCATCCTAATCTGGATCTCGGACTCGCGATTCGAATTCAGTCGGGGCCCTTCTCGGTCAGGAGTTAATTTTGCGACCTCTGGGGGTAGTCCTGATTTCCTCCCTTTTCGGCCTCGCCTTTCTCTTCAAAGTAGGACATTGTCATGACCGTGCCATAGCGATACGTTTCCTCCTCCTCTTTCTACCCACGGAACCAAGGTTCCGCAGCATAGTCTCCTTTAAACACACCCTCCTCACCTCCGCCAGAGCCCACGAACATATACTCGGAGTCGACCCGCGACCCGGGGCCTTTTAATACAACACATATTTCATCATGGCGCAAAGCGCAGTGGGATCGTATTCAAACCCACTCAAAAAATTCAAGTATGACGCGCATATCTCTGCAGATACTGTGGGTGGCACTGGGGGCTGACAAGATGTCTACAGGCTTGTATTCTTGGGGGAACAGAGTGGTATGTGCTGATAACTCCCGGCCATGGACTGTCCTGCTCTGCTCACACAGAATGGTATGAATCAGTTGGCAAGACCTCCCTAATAACCCGGTTCATGTACGACTCCTTCGACACCACCTACCAGGCAACCATCGGCATCGACTTTCTCTCCAAAACCATGTACCTCGAAGATCGCACGGTCCGCCTCCAACTGTGGGACACAGCCGGGCAAGAACGCTTCCGGTCCCTTATCCCCTCGTACATTCGTGACTCGTCCGTCGCTGTCGTGGTCTACGATATCTCTTCTCGCAAAACCTTTGAGCAAACACGCAAGTGGATCGATGATGTAAGAGGGGAACGAGGAAACGATGTGATTGTGGTCCTTGTCGGCAACAAGACAGATCTGGGCGACTCGAAGAGAGAGGTCACCACGCAACAAGGAGAAGAGGAGGCCAAGAGAGCTGGCGCCATTTTCATGGAGACCAGCGCAAAACTGGGCCACAATGTCAAGGCGCTTTTTAGGAGAATAGCGCAGGCCTTGCCAGGCATGGAAGGCGAAGGGGAGCAGCAGCCAAATCCCCAAAGTAAGTACAGGTTCAAGTTTTGTCTTACTTGGCCGACAGGTACTGACAACGGCGCGCTTGTCACAGTGATTGACGTGTCAATAAACAACCAGAAACCAGCCGAGGAAGGCTGCGCTTGTTGATCACCGAGTGGAGTTTCGAGTTCCAGTGCAAGCTACAACTCAGACTGGCTGGCTTCGTGGGCTGCTCCAATGTTGGATTATGATGCGAGTGAGCCCATGCAGAGACCACGGTTCGGGAGCAAGACGTGCCGTAACGTTTCTTGGAAGCTGAGAGAGCAATCGATAAGAGTGACGGGTGGACATTGCATGGAACGCATGCTGTCCTGTATATGTGGCCGTTGTCTATAGTTCGATCCCGGGCCATGGATGGGGGAGTCGAAAGGTCCATGGACGGTGTTCGTATCGAACTGCGAGTGTGTGACAGATATGGAAATGAGGGCTTTTTAGCATAGCATGGCGTTTTGGCTGTTTTTACTCCCTCGCATGAGCAGGATTGGCAAAGCGCAGAGGTTGTGCTTGCCTACTTGCTTGTCCATTGGTACGGGAGAGATGTTACTGTGTAAAAAGGACAAGAGGACAAACCGTCCGTTCGGTCATTAATTGTCAATGAAGCCACCATCAAAACACCCCACTGTTTTCGTACAGTCCCAGTACCGGGGCACCCTCGCACTGACCACGCTGCCATCTCTTACCGCCCGCCCACCCAACTCCCAACTCACCTACCAATCATGTTTCCCGTATCTCTTCCTCTTCACAAGCGGGCTATGGTCCGTCCAGTCACTTGCCGGGAGGGGATGAGATTGTGTTACCACACGTCGCAGCAAACGAGATTCCACACGTATGTATAGTATATCTAGAAAACAATATCTGGGCGCAGAGACGGAATTTGTCTCAGACCGAAAAGGTTGAATCTTCGTCTTTCTGTCCGTTTGGTTTGGTCTGTCGAGGAGGTATGGGTCCCCCATTTACACCCATACATGAGTCTGCAAGCATGGGGAGAACGACATCACTTGTAGGTGCACACTGAGGAAAGTCTAGCTGCACCCGAGTGACCTTCAAGGTACTACACAGAGTATATATGGATAGATTGTAGCCACTACATACATACACCATTTCCCACCACGCGCGGAATTGTCGTCTTTACTTCTCAATTCTCTGATCTCCTAGTTCTGTCTCGGACCATTCGTGAACAATGCAACCCGACGCTGCGAAAAGAGGTGTGATATTATGCCAACGCGCAGTCATGACTGCAGAATACTCTTTCAGCTGTGGTGATCGCAGGTTACGAGGCTGTGGGCGCCACGGGGCTGACGTACCGACTCGCCGAGTACCGGGCACGAGCACGCGAGGGAACTCTCGCGACATCGACTGCAGAAGACTAACCGCATACGGCAGGTATACCTCGTAACCTGCACATCTTCAAGTTAGTAAGGCATAAGTCAACGGCGGTTGGAGGATTAGCTGGTGGCACACTGCTAGTACGCAGATATTGGGAAGTATGTAAATAGTAATCTGCAGCCCACGTGTTGGTTGCTAATTAGTCCAGAAACCCTTGAGAGACCTCTGAGGAATTGCTCCCCCCCCTTATCAGACTCCGCTGGGCTTCTACCCCTGTACCGGCGAAGCCCTGAACGTCCCGTTCGACAGTGAGAGATCACACCAGAAAAGCCAAGAGAATATGTCTTCTCTAGGTCATGATGCTGTAGTTTGCCCCTTGCCCAGACAGGCACAACTGGCCCCTCAAGCATACATCAAGTCCAATTTTTGGGCTATGGTCATTGCGTGCGTGACGAGCCTAGCCTGGGCCACCGCGACCACTCTTTCTGTCTAGGGACAATATACCAATGCGGTTCCTATTAAAACAACGCTATTGCCAAGCAAACGTACTCCTTGAGAGGATCTGTTCAAGTCTAAGGTAACCATGATCTCGTCGTCATATCGACGCCAAAGGATTTAAATGATAGGACAAAATAACGAACGCAGGCTACGGTGACGAGCAATAGGAGAACTTGTTTGGTCAGACATACCTTGATGTTTCCCCAACTCGCCTTAACCGCGTATTGACTCGTGAAGACTTGTGTGAAGAGTGCGAATAGGAAGACGGTCCGATACTCTACACGCATGTGTATACCTATTCATGGCCTTCCCTGATCTTGTGCATGTATTCAGAACTTTCCCTGGCCGTTCTCTGCTCGTTCATCACAATTCCCAAGAGCTAGCAAACCGAGTCCGAAAGGCTAGATAGCTGTATCGAGGAGTCAACCATGTTCCTCCGATTATCAGATCGGAGATTGGGCAATGCATCGGGTTTTGCTCCTCGTACGGTAGGTCAATAATTGTTGTTTCCCCTCAAAATACAGGGTGCAAAGGCGCAGGTGGTTGACATCACCACAGACATAACGAGAGAGAAGAGGGTCGCATTGCTATGACTGAGGGTAAGCATTCATGCACGAGGTCGATCTGTACTCTTCTGTATCACGGCGTCCGCATACTTGTAGAGATAGTAGTAAATCGTAATGCATGTGCATACTCCGTAATCTGTCATTCAGTCATGTCTCAAATTGAAATTGATGACTCGCACTGAACTTTTGGTGCGTTAGTTTCGCAAGAAAGGTCCGTCAAAATTGGGTCCGGGAAGAACAAGTTCCAGGTGCCCGAGCCCGGTCTTAGGCGATCAAATTTCGGGCCCCCAAGTTTTCTCTATGACGATTCGTTCGGGGAGGACGATACTGCTCCAGGGGCTAATTATCGAGGGTGTCACCCCCGGAAGCCCTAAAGACCTGGGCGATTGCCCTCAAGAAGCAACTCCCATGCTCAAGGTTCGGCCCCTAGCCTTGTCGGGTAAGTACATGACACGTGCCTCGAAAATCGACAGGAATCTCGACATGAAATTCCCTCACGCACCCGAAAATCGCCATCAGCTTCGCCTGCTTCACGGCTCCATCTCCCATTTCTCTGCATCTTTGGTTGGCGAAGGGGAGCTCCTGAAGCTCCTAACTCTCCCTGTTAGCGACAGCAACTAACTGGATTCGTCTCTCATCCACCTGACTCAATTTGGGGCCAGCCTGGCGATTGCTTCCATCCCGCTCCGCCAGGCACGAGTTTTACGAGTACGAATTGAGGTCTGCCTGAACGACCTGGATATTTCTACCATTTCATACAACATCCTGCTTCCTCCCCTACCACTCTACGATTGACACGCGACCATCATTAGACACTCCACTCCGAGTGTCTTGTCATTCTCTTCCATCATTCCACCTCTTCGGTACAGCGCGTTCATTGACGACTTTCGAGTCGTCTAATGAACCTGCCTAGTTCGCCTTCATTCCTATTCCAGACGTTGCTCTTCGATAGGAAGAGAATCTCTTTCTCCTAAATGCCTTTCAAGCCCTTCGCACATCTCGCCCGTGTCAGTGTTGCAAAGGGAATCGCCCATACTTATGCTCCGTCCGTTGTCGCTGCTGGCCAGTCACTCGGACAGTTCCAAAATTATCCCGTCGCCAAATTCACAAAGACCACACACCTCCAAAATGCCTTCTCAAGCCCATCGGGTTCCGGCGCAGGTGCGAAGGCTGGTTATACTACTCAATCAGGCGGTGGTGATGCCTCGTTAGCACAGTACTACGCAGCCTGGCAACATGCGCAACAGACTGGTGATGACTCGGACTGGAAGAAGCATGAGGTTGCGAGAAGAATAGGCTGGAAAAATCAAGAGAGGGTTGTACCTACATCGAAACACCACCGAGTCGAGTCCTACCGACCTGTCGACCTCCTCCGACCCACTACCCGCCTGACTGTCTCCCGCGTTAACAGTGAACGAGCCACTCCTAAGATTCAAGATGCCGAGGAAGCTCTGGCGGAAGCAGAAGCCCTTGCAAAGGTAGATGAAGAAATCGCAAAGGAAATCGCGTCCCGGCAGATCGAAAATGCCGCTACTTACGATGAAGCGGTTGGAAGTCCTGTTGCTAGCACTAGAGCACCGAGTCCCTCCGTTCTGGAAACTGGCGCCACATCATTTGAGTCTTCAACTAGCCTCGAACACACGTCGTCACCGACGGACATCACCTCACTTGCATCGGAGGAATCTGTCCTCTCTGATCAGATCGTCCAACTTGGTACCCAGCACCGGTATAGCGAGATCCCAGCTCTGTTCGAAGCGATCATCAAAGATGGCCATGTCCCAACTGTGGAGGCATACAATCATATCTTGGTCTCTGCCATTCATCTCAGTCAAGGCTACCAGCCATGGCCCAGAGCTCTCGAGGTGTACGGAGACATGACAAAGCGGAACGTCGAACTCAATGCAACATCATATGTGATCCTCCTCCGCTTTTTGGCCGTTAGAAGCCTCGAGGCATACCAAGTGCAAAAGAATCTCGGTGAAAGAGCCGCTCGATATGGTAGTGACGGTTCCTTGGTCTTCCCCTCTGCAACCAGACAACATCAACTCTATGCAGCCGACACATCGCTTGCATTTGCTACCAAGTTGTACAACATTGCGAGGGCAACCCTTGAAGATTTTCCACTTTCCGCCGCGGTATACAATGCGCTAGTCAAGGCCTGTGCCCAATCCGGGATGGTCGGGCATATGAATTCGCTACTGGCCGACATGAATGCTCAAAATATTCCTTTGGCGCCACAGCTGTACACCACGGTCATCGATGCGCAGGCCTCCGTGCAAGACATCCACGCCGCTCAAGGTTTATACGAAGAGTATCGCGACCTCGCCATCAGCAGAGCTGCCAATGATCCGCTTGATCTGAAGGTGTATGCTTCCTTGATAAAGGCTTACTACGCTTGCGGACTTGCTGAGACTGGGCTACGTTTCTATGAGAAGATCATCCAATCATTCAATGGCTCGGCAAATGAGCAAGCTTTGTCGGAGAGCTTGACGAGCGTTTTCGTCCTGGATGGACTCGTTCGTTATCACATTGACAACCAGGCCTATTCGACAGCGATTTCAAGCCTTGATGATTTCACCCTCCCATCCGCCGTGCGAGACGAGGCACTATCGAGGATCTCCACCGCTGCGGCTGACGCAGGAAATACTGATGAAGCTGTTCGATCCTTTGATGCCATCAGCTCGGTGAATAAGAAGGCCGAGCCCGTCATGGCTCTTG